GAAACAAGAAGAACAACACCTGCAACAAGCACGACAGAAACAAGAAGCAGAAGAGAGGAGAAGAGGGAGACGGAGGAGGGCAGGGGATGGGAAGACGGTTTCCTCTGGCACGGTCGATGTCGCTCCAAGACTCGGTTCTGAAATTGGTATCGACACATCAAACGAATTATACACTCAGTATGAAATGCTGTGGTTCCATTAAGAAATTGCGTGGGTAACTCAATTTTTTTCCTCTGGCTCGGCCGATGTCGCTCTAAGGCTCGGTTCTGAAATTGGTGCCAACGTGTATTTTTTTGTCCGAGCCGTTGCCTTTCGGCTTTTTTTTCCGTCCAATGCCTCATAGCTCGCCAGGTCGTTCATCATGCCTGTAAGCCAGTTGCATATGACAAATTCGATTGATTAATGCAAAAGCGTCATCCATCTTCACGATAGTCTACTTCAAAAGTAGAATTGACTAACTAATTTCTTTTAGTAGTGCACTTTTCAATGACACGTTGGGTTTACCCTCCGTGTCCATGGCAATCCTGTGGTTTTTGGTGTGGGTGTTTTGGTTGTGGCTCCTTTTTGTGTTGTTTTGCTGTTTTTCCTGCAGGCGAAACGCAAATCTGGCCAGGAGATTGCGTGTCGTCGCTGTTTTGCCTGGTTTTTGTTTGGTGTTCAACCCTGCAAGCCCGCCTACGACCCTCAAACCTCCACCTACGACCCTTCCAGGTCACACCTGCGACCTGCAAATCTCCTTGTTTAGGGAGCGCACAGGTTGGACACGCACATCTAAACAGCTGTCTCACAGCAGTCACTAAAAGGAAAACCTTCGCACACATGAACCCAAGGCAACATGAACGCGCTCCACCTTCTAGTCGCCTGTGTTGTCTGCTTCCTTGGCTGTCAGCAAAAGCTGTATGTCTTCTCTTGACAACCCCTTTGCCGCCTGCGGTACGACAGAACATTCCGACGCAAAACAACAGAAGTGACTTGCGGTGTGTGTAAGGGTCCATTGTTTGGTGGTACATTAGGAGAAAGCAATCCTCCACTGCGAAACGAACCATGTCTTGCCTTGAGCAAGCGTGTGCGGCGCTTCAAGCAATTCTTCTCAACCTTTGCCGCTTGTTTTGCCGCCTTCTTAGCATTGTCCTTGTCTTCCTTAGGACCGAGCCTCAGAGCGAAATCGGCCGCAACAGAGGAAAAAAGACTTCAAAAGTAGAACTGAAGAAGGAACAGTATATACAAAGTCCTATTAGCTGTCACGATGTCAACAGAAAAAACACAAACAAAACAAACAACAAAGCAAACAAAAAACCAACCAAAACCACAAGCAAAACCAAAACAAACAAACAACCACACACACCAAAACAAAAAGGGCAGCGTGATCAGCTGGTCAGTTACAACGTCGGTAACTTGATGAAGGGTGACAGCATTGGTACATAAACTCTGTGAGAAGCGAACCAACACAACACTGAGCGAGAACCAGAGCTCCCCCCAGAGGAGCCCCGAAATCACACAGTGTAAGCCGCACGGAAGACTCACAGAATTGGGGCAACCCAGAAGCTAGCAATGGCAATGCCATGTGCAATGGAAAGGTGACACAAAACATAGTGAAACAGAGTGTGAAACTGAGCTATGGTGAGAAGGTGACGGACGCGTATCTACTACGGCTGTCAGGGTCCAAGCATCATCGTCATTGGAAGCTGCAAAACGCTCTTGTGGTGCATCCTGCTTTCAAAACTGAACCCAATGCGATCAAGTTAGCGAATCGCAAACTTGACAGCATTGACGCAGACTTGCAAGCGTAGAGCTCCGTCACCAAGAGCTGATGGTTTAAGTGAAATGTTCGGCAGAGCTTCTAGAAGGGCAGCTTGTGTCAGCAGTGCGAAGATCTTCAGTAGGGTATGATTGCACAGCTGTTTGCATAAACTGTAACTGTTGATCAATCACTGCACGCTCGAGTGTGTTAGCTCTGGCCTCGACTCGGATGCGCAAGCTGTGTATAGTATACAGAGACAGGCTGTGCGTAATGTTCGAAGGTCTTGTTCACTAATGATGCCTGACAGAAGGTCTGTCCGCTGCAGGGATGTAATCGTTGTCTCCATCACTTGCTGGCTTTCGGCGGGTAAACGGTCTTGAGTCTTACTCACGGACCAGCGGGGAATCGAACCACTGGCAGTCTGTCAACGCCACAAGAGTGACGTCATACCAACTAAGCCATGAGGGCAAGAAAAATGGTGTAAACGTGTCAAACGAAAAAAACTCGCAATGAAACACAGTGGTTCCGGCGCTGACTGAGTCTTTGTTGGCGGTGTGTGCAGCTTGCGCCCTGAATCCTCCCTTCGATAGTGCATCATTCGGCTCGGTTGACTTTACCGGGCAGAATGGTCTACAATATGAATCCAGGCGCAACCTGTTTTGGTGGTTGCCACCCCTGAGTGGTTGCTCCCCTTGAGGGGGCTATTGCCCTTCCTTTATATCTCATGACTACCAGGGACAATGGCTTTGCGGCTTTTCTGCCCCTTCTTACAGTCAGAAGTGTGATGATGTCTTGCAGAAGGTGTTCTGAGAAGACTCTGAGGACTCTGAGTTTTACTGAGGCGAGGAGACAATTAAGTTGCATCCTTTGTGAAAATTCAGGGCAAATGAATTCGTTTTTTGCTTTAAAGTGCGGAGTCATCGGGAGGTTTTCCTTCTTCTCGATGCCCTGGTGGCCGTGTTGTTGGCTGTTTTTGTCTGGGCTCCGGCCGCGTTCGTTTGGTTGCTGTTTTTGGTTTTCTTGTGCTGCTTTTGTTTTTGTTCGCGTGGGAAGATGCGCATATCTGACCGGGGGATGTGCATGTCGTCCCAACGCCTTTGTTTGGTTTGGGTTGCCACCAGTTGCCGATTGTACAGCTTTCAGAAGATGAAATTTCTTCTGTGTTTACGGATTTGTTTTAGCTTCGTTACAAGGACCGAGCCTTTGAGCGCAATCGGCCAGACCCCGAGGGAAAAAAACTACGAACGTGCGTGGTGAGGAGGAGCTTGACATGAGTTTTCTGGAAGAAATGGAACATGAACTTGCAAATGATGATTTGTATGTCCCGAGAACTCCTCTTGATGATCTACCTCCACAGCCTCCAGAGCCTCCCAGTCCACGTGCTTCACCCACCAGTGGTGCTCATGATGAGACTGGTGATGAAGGGCATGATGCAAAGAAAGAAAGAGTTGAAGATCAAAAGAAACAGCGTATTGGAATGTTGCGTGGTATGCAGGAAAAGGTCATCAGAACCAGAACAGTGAAAACTGGTGACGATGAATATCATACCCTGGATGATTACAGCAGTGAGCCTCAGCTTGATGCAGCTGATGATGATGTTGACAAAGATGACATCTGGGGAGACGAGGAAACCTTGCAGTTTTCCAATGTTCCTGAAGAGCTTTGGTCAGATTCTCCGATCAATGTGGTCCCAGCTTGAGCCTTGGGTCGACAGACTTGCGGATGAGGTTGAGATTCAGCGTTTGCTTGGCATGGGAGTTTTGCAAAAGCGTTGTGAGTTTGGAGGTGAGATCAGTGGAGCTCTCACAACAAGATTCGTCCATGACTGGCGATTGAAAACATATGATGGTGACAACAGTTTGTTCAAAGGTGAAACGAAAAGGTGGATGCGACGTAGCAGATATGTTGTCAGAGAATTTGCAAACGACAAACGAGATGATGTGTATTCACCTGCAACTGGATGTCATACATCAAACCTTGTGCCAATTGTCTTTCTTCAGATGTTGAAACATTTGGAGTCAAGCGAGCTGGAAAAGGAAAACTATGATGTCGTCCTAGCTGCACTCGACATCAAAGATGCCTTCTTGCAAGTGCCCCAGCAACATGTTGTCTCAGTGAACTTACATGGAACTGAATACGTTGCGCTGCACAATCTTCCTGGTCAGAGGCTTGGAGCAAAAGCATGGTACTGGTATTTCAGAGAATATGTGACAAGCAGCATGAACTTTGAATGGTGTTCGGTGCAAAATGTGAAGGAAACGTTTTCATGGTGCACGTTGATGATTTGCTCTTCACAGGTAGCCGACAGTTTTGGTCTCAGAAGTTTCTGCCAATGATGCAACAAAAGTTCAGTGTGAGTTACAAAATGCTTGGTGGAACAGGAACGGAGATCAAATTTCTGAAAAGACGGCTTGTGACACTGTGATGTTGAGCGATGGAATGATGATTGTGCCTGAACTTCAGCAGCGAAAGTGGTTGAATGTTTTGAGAAACACTTTGGCCACGTGTTCAGAAGGTACCCTGTGATTCAGCTTTGCAACAAGAGGACGATTCACAGAAACTCACACCAACAGATGCAAAGAACTTTAGAAGCGTGATTGGACTTCTTCTCTACCTCTCACGTGACAGAGTCGATATCATGTTTGGTGTCAAGGAGCTTGCGTCAGCTATGTCCTCACCATCCCTATGCTCAGTGCAAAGACTTCGAAAGCTGATCGGGTTCATCAAGTACACCTGTGACATTGGTGTCAAGCTGCCATTTCCAGAACATGGTGTTGGAAAGTTCAAGCAGGGCACAGAAACGTTTTTGCTTCTCGAGACCTACACAGGTGCGGACTGGAGCTCAAACAAAGCACACAGGAGAAGCACCAGCTGCTCAATCCACTTTGTGAATGGATGCTTTGCCTACGGTTCAAGTCGCTCACAGAAAGTGATTTCATTGTCGTCGGCCGAGAGGGAACTGCATAGCATGATTGGTGGTTGCTGCGATGGAATTTTCATCAGGAATTGTCTACAGTTCCTTCTTTCTGTTGATGTGGAGCGCCACCAATTTACAGACAATTCAGCGGCCCGACAAATGATTTCCAGACAGGGAGTTGGAAGGATCAGGCACCTTTCAGGAAAGCTTCTGTGGATGCAGTCAAAGGTCATGGATGGAGATGTCATCATCCACCAGGTGCCAACTCTTTGGAACTACAGTGATGTTGGAACGAAAAGCCTACCTCGCTCCAGGTTACTCTTTTTGCTTTGTGGGATTGGCATGGTCGAAGCTGATACAGCTGAGCCGTTTGGACTGGAAGAATACAACAACATGGCAGAGCAAGAAACAAACAGAAGAGAGATCAGCAAGCTGGCAAAGACTTTGAAACGAATCACATTACTCATCACAGTGCAGGGCCTTGGGCCGGTGGTTGCAGAAGGTGCTGAGATTGGAGATTTGCAATGTCCCAGCACGAGCATCGAGGCGGTCGAGCGCTATGAACACTTTGGAATGTTGATTACAATTCTGACTTTGCTGGTCTTGTGGTTTCTTTTTGCATACATGGCATGGTTTGCATGGAGGAAAATACAAAACAACTTGAGTAGGTACGGAGAGAAACTGGAAAAGGCGGAATGGGATTTGTACCATTGCTGGAACCAAGTTGGAGATGAGGATAACTATATTGCCCAGCAAACTGCAAGAATCGATGGACTTCAAAACCAGTTCATGATGATTGATGGTCGCCTTACAGAAGCAAGCAATGAGGCGTCGATGAGTCACGACTATATGGTTGGACTTCATGATTCAGTTGTGGAACTGAGTGGATTCTTGCGTTTTCCGTTTGGAGTTGCACCAAATCATTTGATTTCCATGGGAACTCAGGAAAGAACCAATCTTGTGGCTTACAACGCAGTGGGTGCAGGGCAGTATCTGAATCTTGTGAGACAGCGTGCGTACGTGGAAACTGGAGAAACAACAGATGTTCAAATGACTGCAAACCAGAACACAGAAGAAACAACTGAAAGCGAAGATGGTACAGATGACCAGGTCACAGCAGCGAGGCCTCTCCAAAATCCCAACATTACGGATTTGATGGAAGAATTGAAAGTGGAGTTCAGGTTAGCTCTACCGAGAGAAGAACCACAGGATGCAACGAGACTCCAGCACATAATGATGCAGATGCTGGAGAACATCAGAAATGGAGTGACAGAAACGATGGTGGAAAATTACAACAGAAGGATTGCAGATCTGCTCTTCCAAATGTCAGAAACAGCAACGAATCAGGGCAGACTGTAAAGTGGCCTATACTATGGCCGAAGATGCGCACGCTTCAGAGGCGATGCATGACAAAACTCAATGGATTTTTGTGTTGTGAACGTCCAGCAAAATCTACGCTGGATGTGCACAAAAGTTTCAAAAAAATGTGAAGCGGCACTGAGACCCACAGCCTTCACAGCGCCGAGGAGGAGTGCGAATCATTTTTGACAGCACCCTGCACAAGGATGACATGCACAATCCATGATGAGAAGTGTAACAAGTTTCATGCAATTACATGGAAAACCCATGTACGTATCTTGAGGCCCATTGTGGTTCGAGAAAAGCGCGCTCCCGCTCACATAAATGAAACCCTAAAAAAACCTTTAAAAAAATCCTAAGGAAACCCTAAAGAAACCCTAAACGACACCCTAAAGAAACCCTATATGAAACCTTCAATGAAACCCTGAACCCTCAAGAACCCTAGAAAAAACACTAAAAGATCTTTGAAACCAGGGAAAAATCATTGAAGACGATCAAAAAAACGATGAAAACCATCCAGACATCGTTGAAAACCATGGGAAAATGGGTGAAAACTAAAATGTTGCAATTATCGTGCAAATTTACGATTTTAGCTACCCAAATTTCCGACTTCAGCTCCGAAATGCTGCAAATAGCATGCCAAATGTGAGATTTTAGTTCAAAACGCAGCAAGTAGTACGCAAATCAGAGAGATTTTAGCTCCAAATCAGAGATTTTGGTTCCAAAATGCAGCAAATAGCATGCAAATCAAAGATTTTAACCCCAAAATGTAGCAAATAAGAAGGAAAACTGCCTCAGACTGAAAAACAAAAAACAAGTTCAAAAAAAACAAATGAAAAAAAAAAAAAATAATCACCCACTATGTACTATGTGATGTTCACGTTTTTTGTGGGCTGAAACATGGTTCATGCACATCCACCGTAAATATCTAGGGGAAACGTGTGACAAAGGACCTGAAACCGGTTTTGACGAACAAAAATTATTCCATGCAAAAAGGCACAAACGCGTTTGGAAATGAGGGTTGAGGCTGAGGAACCATTTGTTTTTAAATATCTTAGTGGAATGTGGTTATCATTGTGCATGGTGAACACTTTTTTGAACATCGGAATGTGGTTCTTGTGTTTTTATGTGTTTTTACTGTACACAATGTCATCGAAGTGGTTTTCAAATCCATTGGATGGTCGTTATTGGCACCTTGGGCCTGGACGGATGCTGCCAAATGGTTGATGGTTGAGATACTGGATCTGTCTGTGGCGATCCCCTTGAAACATTTTGTCACAATATGTGCTATGGAATGAAAACAACAAACATGTGTTTGATTGGTATTCTTTGATGTTTGAACGTTTCTGTTGGTGGTGTTTTTGCTGGTACGAACGAAGTGCGTTGGCAATGATGTTGCATGTTTGTCTTGAGTCAACCTTTGACTGGGGGGTTCGGGGTGATTCGTTCATTTGAATGTCCACGTTGGTACCACAGCGAACCCGGAGATATTATTTGCCAAATCACGACTTGGATTTGGATGCGGCAATGTCACGCTAGCGGCTAGCGGTGTTGCTCAATAAACTGATGCGAAAATGCAACAGAGAAAAAACACGCATCCACGTGCACTACCAACATGGAATCCGGAAGTTGAGTGCAACCGTGCAACCAACACATTTATTTCATTGTAAGAACCATAACTTACTTCATTACCTGTTTGTTCAAGTGCCAGAAATTTGTCGCAACAAAGACTCGCCAACATCCCACCCTGTTGTTTTGTTTGTAGTTGGACTTTGACAGATGGGTGATGCAAAAATCCGTGCCATGGTTGTGTTTGCTGGTGCCCACTTGGGCCAAACCGTTGCGCTACCTACAAGAGACCGGTGGTGACGTTGTGGAATGGGTGAAAACTGGGAACCTGTGCGTGTCAGGCAGATCTTGGACAGCCTTTGGCCTGTGGCATTTTCACTGGTGAACATGGAACACATCTAGAAATGAAAATGAAAACTGTGCAAAACCGTGCTGGTTGATGATTATAGGGGATGATACAAACCAAAATATGTATATTTGGAATATATGTAAATATATACATATGTGTAATATGTAATGTAATGTAGTGTAGTGTAGTGTAATGTAATGTATTGTATTGTATTGTAATGTATTGTAATGTATTGTAATGTATTGTAATTTAGCATGTCTCTCTACCATGTTTTTGGGCTATCTCTTTAGGCACTGTTTTACAATTTTTGTCCCTAACTTTTGGGATTTTTTGTCCCTAACTTTTCGGAATTTTGGAATTTTTGTCCCCAACTTTTGGGATTTTTTGTCCCCAATTTTGGCAATTTTTGTCCCCAACTTTTGGTGATGTGGGAATTTTTGTCCCCAACTTTTGGGAATTTTTGTCCCCAACTTTTGGGAATTTTTGCCCCCAACTTTTGGGAATTTTTGCCCCCAACTTTTGGGAAATTGGGAATTGTTGTCCCCAACTTTTGGTGATTTTTGCCCCCAACTTTTAGGGATTTGGAAATTTTTGTCCCCAAAAGTTGGGGACAAAAATTCCCAAAAAGTTGGGGACAATAATTCAATTCCTATGGGAATAATTATTGTCCCCAACTTTTCCCATAGGAATTTAATTATTTTCCCCAACTTTTTCGGTTGGGAAAAGTTGGGGACAATAATTTTTCCCATAGGAATTGAATTATTGTCCCCAACTTTTTGGGAATTTTTGTCCCCAACTTTTGGGAATTTTTGCCCCCAACTTTTCCCCAAAAGTTGGGGACAAAAATTCCCAAATCCCCAAAAGTTGGGGACAAAAATTCCAAAATCCCCAAAAGTTGGGGACAAAAATTCCCAAAAGTTGGGGACAAAAATTCCCAAAAGTTGGGGACAAAAATTCCCAAATCCCCAAAAGTTGGGGACAATAATTACCAAACTTAGGGTCAATAATTACCCAAACTTGGACAAAATAGCTTTAAAGAAAACGTGGTAGAACGCCATGCTAAATTGTAATGTATTGTAATGTATTGTAATGTATTGTAATGTAATGTAATGCAATGTAATGCAATGCAATGCAATGTAATGTAATATAGTGTAATGTAGTGTAGTGTAGTGTAATGTAATGCAATGTAATGTAATGCAATGTAATGTAATGTAATGCAATGCAATGCAATGCAATGCAATGTAATGTAGTGTAATGTAGTGTAATGTAGTGTAGTGTAATGTGTATGTATGTATGTATGTATGTAATGTAATGTAATGTGATGTGATGTAATGTAATGTAATGTAATGTATGTATGTATGGTATGTATGGTATGTATGGTATGTATGGTATGTATGGTATGTATGGTATGTATGGTATGTATGGTATGTATGGTATGTATGGTATGGTATGTATGGTATGTATGGTATGTATGGTATGTATGGTATGTATGGTATGTATGGTATGTATGGTATGTATGGTATGTCTATAATGGTAATGTTATGGTATGTATGGTATGTATGTAAGGTATGTGGTCAGGTGTAGGCGAGTATGTATGTATGTATGTATGTATTGGACCTGTCAGGTTTGGTCAGGTTAGGCGACAGGGAGAGTTTTGGATGCAGAACATCACGGATGAATTGTGGCTCCAAGCGAAACAAATCACATTTTGGAGACCGCGGCCGGTCGCAGCATTTTAATTTTTAACGCCTTCTTCCATGACAGTCACTGCATTTGCTACGGTTGCTTTTTTGGTTGTGCATTTGAAACAAGGCTTTCATTTAATTTTTCATGGTTTTCCATTGCAACCATCTAAACAAAAAAAAAGACAAAATCCACAGAAGACAGGCAGCTGTCATTCAATTCCATAGTTTTGATTTCACTGCTTTGCTCGCCGTAGCGTGAGCAATGGATTCGGTGGCCGATCTTAGTCAACACAATTTGACTTCCAACGACGCATAAATCAAGTTTAGCTGTTTCATTGGTCAGAGGATGACAATCAAAAGTGCCAACGGAAAATTGATCATGATTGTTTCGGCCTTTTGAGGCTGCTCGCAGAAACTCTGGATCGGGCGTCAGCATGTCAAAAGCAGCCCCGCATAATTTTGAGTCCAACCTGGGCTTGCAGACCTGTACTAGTTTTTCCAAAGCACCTTCACGGAAATTGCAGACAAACGCAGCTGCTGGAGGACCATTGCCATTTCCAAAGCCCAAAGCACCCGCTTTGAGTTTGAACCATAAGATTGTTGTTCCTCCTTTAGTCCTCCTTTGCTTGCAGATGCTAAACCAGCAGGTCTTTCTTTTCCATCGCCCAAAAAAAGGCCACTGAGTTTGGAATGCCGAGGGCCGATGTCTCGGTGCGAGCAACCTCAGCATGAGCCTAAGTTGCTTCCAGCCAAGGGTCACCGTTTGCCACGATGCCAGATTTTACGCCATCAACTGATTTGCGATTGTACCATGTCAGATTGATCAGAGAGTATTTGACACGCTACCAAGATGCCAGCCAATTGGCAAAACAGTTGAAAAGTTCTGCGTATCCGGATGAGCACTTGCATAACATGTTACATGTGTATTCCGACCAGACCATACATAGATATTTGAAGACTTGGAAACGTTTCGTGGAATTTTGTGATGCTTGCCGGTGGTCACCACCGGATGTGCCAGTCCCTCAGTTTGCAGATTGCTTGAGAGAATTGTGTAACCGCACCAAAGCAGTCAAAGCACCGTATGTAAATTTCTTGCGTGGCGTCTCCTGGGCAGCCAAATTTTTTGGATTTCCAAAACTATTAGAAACGTTGAAATCTGAACTGATTCGGAGTTATTTGTTCTCCTCCGCAAAAATTGGCATTTCGGAGTCCATTACTCCTGCGCCCGTTTTCCTTGCCAGCGTCTTGGAAACTGTCGTGCATGATCCTCAGACCCCAACTGCTTTGTGTATTTTAGCCGGGGCATTTCTCTTGATGTTTTATGCAGGTTTGCGATTCAGTGATATCCAACGATGCAAATTGTGTTCGCTGCACGAAGAACATGGCATGCTACGTGGCAAAGCTTGGAAAAGCAAGAATAGCAAGCAAGGTTCCGCGTTCGCAGCCATAACCTGTGGTTTGCGGGGTTCACACACAGTCAACTGGGCCAGCAAGTTTCTGACTAAGTTGAGAGCATTTTGGGAGACGTGGTCTTCTGACACGGGTCAGGTTTATGACCCAACATTTCTCGTGCCAGACATCAGAGGGCCCGCTTTCTTCATGTTTGCCAGGCCAATGCATTTAGTTCGAGCAACAAATTTGTTGCGGTACTTTGTGTCCCAAGCACAAATGGCAACGCCAACCCAAGCCATCACAGTCCACGGTTTGAAAAGCGGCTTGATTGCCATTGCAAATCAGTTGGCGTTGGATCCGTCTTGGATTGCGCAGCAAGGTCACCATAAACCACAAGGTTCCACTTTTCGATATTCACGTGATGATACGTGGTTGCAAGTGCATTTGCAAATTGCAATAATGGCAAGATTGCAAACTGGGTGGAAGCCTTCCACTCCATTGTTGCGAGGTGCTGGTCCTCCGATTCCTTCTGAGCATTTCGGCATGAGACTGGAGCCCCTTTCGTGGTCCTTTTTGATTCCTGATTCACCATGCCCACCTGTAAATTTTGATGACCAGCCAGATTCAGATTCTGACAGTTCCTCCTCAGAATCCTCGTCATCGTCATCTGACGACGACATGTTTTTACTCAATTCATTTAGCCGAACTGCGCATCAAGCCAAGTTCGATGCAAATCACAAAGCAATCCCTGCTTGCGGGGCACTATTGTCGTTGCCAGGAAGCTATTATCAACAGTCGGAAGATATCCCCGAAGGATATCAGCTCTGTGCGAATAAAGCCTGCCGCTGTGAATAGCTTAATGTGCTTCGGAACGTCCACGTTAACTATGCGGAAGCAGAAAAAAAAGGCGTTGCATTCTGATATAGACTTGCAGCAGCGACACAAGTAAATTGATTCAACTGCAAGCTGATCCCTGCCTCAAACTGAGCTTAAACATCTTAGCTTAATTGCTGTCATTGCCTTGCGCGGCTCAGATTCCTTTTGTGACAGAAGGGTTTGCACTTGCCGATCCCAGCTCCCAATGGATGATCTAAAAGAGTTGGCCATCCAATGTGGAGTCCCAGAAGCAGTGGTAGACAGAATAACGGGTCATGGATACACCACACCATCTCTTTTCGCTTTTAGCTTCTCAACACCGGCAGCCCTAGATACCAAGATTTTGGAATGGCTAGCCGACGATGGGGAGCCAGAAGACGAAGAAGCCTGCTTGATTTCACCTCAAGCAGGGGCAATTCGTGCTCTTTGGCATCATAGTTTCCATCAAATTCACAATCCTTCTTTGGCTCCAGCACCATCGGCCTCGGAAACCCCTATAGCTTGGAAAGTCGTTTAGCCTGGACAGATTTGCCACCTCCAAAGCTCAGTGCAGAACATGTCCTCCAGTTGAAATCCAAATTCCGAGAGCATTATCCGGGTGAGCTATTGACGGCTTCTAACACACCATGCTTGCGCTTATTGTCACAAGTCATGCACCAAACGAAGCCGGGGAATTGCTTGGAATGGCTTCCGTGGAAGTCTTTGGTTTCTGAAGAAAATTGGAACCGAGCTCAGGAGGCCAAGGTCTCCAAGACCTTCAAGCCTGGCTCAGCTTTGCTTGCTTCAGCGTTAGTGGAAGATGTCCCTGAACTCGATGATATCCAAGGCAACCCCTTCTTTTTGTCTCGGGTTTTGGAAGTGCGCCGCAATGCTTACGTGCTTGTAGGTATTGCGCACCTAGGCGCATGGAAAGAAACTGATTCCAAGGTCATGGACCATTATACAAAGACATACTCTGAATCGAGTGGCCTGCGACCACCCAGCCTGCAGGAGTTTTTGCAATGTGACCGGAAACTTTGGGAAACGATTTTTCATTTAGTCAATGCTGAGCAATGGGAGCTCAACCAAGCGCTCCTTGAAGTGAGCCGAGTCCGCTCCGACATCCCAACCTTGTTCATGCCTCGGCCACGTGCCCTCTCAATTTCCAAGGGTGGCAAATCCAAGGGGAAGCTGGCCTGGCGGCCGAACCCCTGTGACAAACCAGCTGGTAAGGGCAAAACGAAGGGCAAAGGCGGAAAAGCTGACTCTGCGAAAGCACCTGCTTGGCCTGACCACTGGGCTAAGACTTTGATTACCCCTGACGGTGCTTCGCAAGAAGTTTGCAAACGGTTCCATACTACCGGGTGCAATTTCCCAAAATGCAAATTCTTACACAGATGCCCGATCTTGCTGCCATCAGGCAGTCCTTGCAATTTGCCCCACAAAGCTTCAGAGCATCCAGTTATGCACGCTTGACCCAGGCGTGTACCTGACGAGCCAGCTGCAGACCCAGTGTCTGATAGTGAGTCTGCTTCGTCAGGCGATTCGTTTCACGAACGCCAGTGCTGTGGGTCCAGCAATGACCGCGAATCCTATCAAAGCAATTTGCGAGAGCTTCCAGCCCCACTGCCAGGCCACAAATTTTTCCTTGAATTTTTTTCTGGTGCCCCGCACCCAGTCACAACAGCGGTGGCATCCCTCCGATGTCAGTGTCTACAACCGTTGGACACCTCTTTAGGAGACAGAATTCATGACCTCCTGGACAGCGATACTTTCCATGCTTTGACAAAGCTGGTAACATCAGGTTTGCTCGCTTTCATGTGGGTTGCACCTCCATGCCTTCCAGATCAAGAGAGTTTCAGCATTTTGCAAGGAACTTTATCCCTGATGGAATTGGCATTTCTTAACGGAGCGCATGTGGCATTTGCACAGCCGTCCAATGCAATATCGTGGCAACAGCCGTTGCTCCACGAATGGCTCCACCGAATCCCGCACCACATGATTTCAGTTGCACAGTGTCAATACGTGCCGCTGGGCCAAGCTACTGTTCAATCATGGCAAGTTGCCACGACCTGTTCTTTGCTCCTTGAAACGCAATCCCAATGCCTTCATCATGAGATGCACCCACCGATACAAGTTCAGCGGCACCCCCGTTCAGGATCCGTTAGCTTTCCTGAACATCTATGTTTGGAAATCGCCTTGGCCTTGCAGCCTTTGTTTGCTCAACATGAAGAGGGACCAGTGCTTACGCCATGGGGCGTGGCCATGCAAGAACTTCCGCTGCGCCTCCCTTCCAAAGCAAGCGACAAAAAATTTATGGTGGCTGATGGTGGGGGTGTCGATAGCACAGGCGATTGGACAGTTCCACATGCTCCAGACTACTTGGCTGACCTGCGGCGGGCATGGCTTTTATATGGTCTCCGCAACAAGATTTTACCAAGAATTTCAATTTCCAGGCCAACCAATTTTGAAACCTTGCTTTCGGCAGAAGAAGTAGCTGACCTTTCTTCAATTTTTCAACGTTTTGCTCACGATTTCAACATTGACCCAAGCACGGAGGTTGCCCAGGATCAACCCTTTCGATTGGAGTTCTTCTCTGCATTTAATCAGATCACCAGGGACGTTGATGCAGTGCTCCCTTCCTTGCTGCGGGATGGGGTGTCTACTGGCGTCCAGGCTAGCATTCCACCAAGCCAGGTTTGGATCCAACATGTACCATCAGTGGATTTGGCTTCACAGCTGGTGTCTCATTTTGACAATTGGGGGTCAGCTACAGATCACCCCGACATAGTGGCGCAACTTCTTCAACAGGAGCTGGACGACCAATTTGTGGAATGCTTGGGCTTCACCACTGACCTGGACCCGGAAATGCGACAAAAACTTGTGTTTGGAAAGCTAGGCGTCGCTTTTAGCGACAATCGCAAGCCCAGTCTGGTTTTAGACACCACCATCAGCGGGGTAAACCCCCGCACTAGCATCCAAGAGAAGGTTTTCTACCCAACTGTGGCTGATGTCCGTGAGACTTTTAGCGCGCAGCCGGAACGGCAACAATATCTGGGTTTCCTGGTGGACATTCGAGCTGCCCACAAATGCATCAAAGTGAAGCCCAGTGAAAGAGGACTTGCGGCCTTCACCTGGCAAGGCAAAGCATACCGGTACAAGACGTGCCATTTCGGCGCCACATATTCTGCATACTGGTGGAGCCGTGCTTCTGCCATGATTCAAAGACACATCCATATTCTCCTGTTTGGGTACCACAGATCATTTATATATGTCGACGATTTCTTTTTCCTCTTCAAACAGGAATGGGCATGCATTCAAGCTTACTTGGCCACAGTTTATTTCCAAGTTTGCAAAGTTCCTATCAGCTGGCATAAAACCAAGCTCTCACTCCATCCTACCTGGCTCGGTTGGGATTGGGACCTGGTCAGCATGACTTTATCTTTGCCACCAGCCAAGTTTGCCAAGCTTCAGACACTGTTGGTAGAATGTCGCAGGCCACAGCTTTTGCGAAGGACAGTGGAGCGCCTTGTTGGCTTGTTGCAATGGAAATGCCAGTGTTATATTTATTTCAGGCCATTTCTATCCGTGTTATATCAGGACTTGTCACATGGTGGCCTCACCCCAAGGTGGATGACCCGCGCGCAGGTCGAAAGCTTTCTGGCAAAGGTCACCAGCGATGACTCTTTGACGCTTGGCGTAAATATGCCGCCCTTTTCGGCGGGCTGCCGCATTCTGAAGCTGGGCCAATTTGCAGTGACAACAAAAACCCAAGCGTTGCACGCCTTGCGCACCTTTACAGCAGGCTGGATTTTGATGTTTGATGTGCGCTCCAAACGGGTCAAGCTCTCGGACAGATCTCATCAGCTTGTAGTTTTCCTGCAGCAAGCCATTTCCCATAGCCCGTTGCGGGTCAACCTTCGGCTGCCGTCAACGGCCACGTTCCCGATGGCAGCAGATGCGATGGCCACCGAACGTGCCGTGGGCATTGGCGCTTGGTTTCAGCATCCAGTGAGTTCCCAGATTTTTTGGACAGCGCTTCATTTTGATATTTTTGATTTTCCAATTCAGGATTGGGTGGCAGGGCGAACAGCTCAATCCCTCATAGCTTCCTGGGAGATGTTGGCGCAAATAGTGTTGGTGCATTTGATAGCTAGCATTCTGGGACATTTGCGGCTTCCGCTGAAGTTGGCCCCATTGAGTGACAATAATGCCTCGCTAGCAGCTGGCAACAAGCTCTTCACCACTTCATTTCCTTTGAGTGAGTTCACTAAACTGTTGACGTGGCATCTCCACCGTCATCACCTTCATGTTTCCCTTGACCGTGTGAGTTCTGAAGATAATGTCATTGCAGATTCTCTCAGCCGAAATCAATTCGATATTTTACAAAATCTCAGAAACGCACGTATTGTGGTCACGCTGGCCGACATCTGCTGGCCCATGCTGTCCACCCAAGGCGCCGAGGGGTTTCGGGGTTGGACACGTGCAACGCGGTGGGAGATATAAGCACATGTTCCAACCATTCAGTGTTAAGATCTAAGTGTGGAATTTTGAGATCGACAGAAGTTTGTTTGCCCACAAGGAGTGGTAGTGGAAGAGAGATCGAATTCTCCCGCATTTGTGCCAAAATAATTGCGGAGTTGCGGGATTTGTTTCTGGCATCGAAACTTGGACCTGTCAGGTTTGGTCAGGTTAGGCGACAGGGAGAGTTTTGGATGCAGAACATCACGGATGAATTGTGGCTCTGAGCGAAACAAATCACATTTTGGAGACCGCGGCCAGTCGCAGCATTCGCAGCATTTTAATTTTTCCCCCCCAACCTCAGTCCCATTTTACCCTTTGCGCCATGCTAGGCCTTTGCTCAACACCGGTGGAAAAACCATCAATCCAGGCTTGGATTTTTTTGGGGGACCGGGCAGAGTGCCGCAGCACATGATCATATCACTCCACGCATGGAGGTAATTAAATACAATCACGACTTATATCCGGCGATACGATTTTGGTTACACACTTCCCTGCCACTCAGGTGACTATCTTGAAGTTTTCTTCCAATACACATTGTGCCGCAGCACATATCGCAAGCAGGACGCTTAAATGTTGACAGCAGACGGCCACATATGTTATCAAAATCAAACATTGAATGCTGTCAGCTGGTTCAGAAGGAAACATGGTGCCGCAGCACCTTTAAAAAAAAAGAAAAAAACTACGAATCCAACACGGGAATCAAAGTTTAGACCAGGAAACCGCACTTTTCCCTTCAAGGCTACACGACCGCCGAGCCGCAGACTCAAGTTGCAAATTGCAAAGGGACCGCTGTCCATTGAATCTGCGACTGATAATAACCTTTTAATATTAGCACAGTTGCATTGCGGGCAACTTGTCATTTCCTCATTCTTGCCTTGATCTTCGACGAACTTGCGGCCACATCTGATTTCCTCAGGCCAAACCTTCTCAGCTGCCCTCAGAAGTTTCACATCTGCTTCCACCCTCCTGAGAGATATAAGCACATGTTCCAACCATTCAGTGTTAAGATCTAAGTGTGGAATTTTGAGATCGACAGAAGTTTGTTTGCCCACAAGGAGTGGTAGTGGAAGAGAGATCGAATTCTCCCGCATTTGTGCCAAAATAATTGCGGAGTTGCGGGATTTGTTTCTGGCATCGAAGCTGTATGTATGTATGTATGTATGTATGTATTCTTATGGGGAATATCACAATCCATCAGGGGAATCCGGTTACCAACAAGAAAATTTGGGCACGACAGAGGTTTTTGAACACTGCTCACATGTTCCACCTAGAGCCACATGTCGAGTAATTTACAAACATTGATCTATTGAAACTTGGGTGATCCATCATTTTTTGGTTTGACATTCAACTTTGACCCATGCCACAACTTTTGTTGGTTAATTTTTATTGTATCCCAGTGCATGCAGTCACAACATTCTATCATATTTTATCCTAATTTTTGCGGCTAATATCCCTTCGATTCCATAAAAAATCATGCTTTGTTGCGATCCAAAATGGTTTTGTGCAGGCCACTCGCTACTGAATGAGACCCCTGCCGTGAAGCTCTGCAATTGTGGTGGGCATTTAGACTGCCAAGGCGGGAAGCATGGGAAAAAATGGGGAAAGGGGGAAACTAGGACAGGACAGGTTGGAGGTTAGGTGGGAAGCTGTTATGTTTTTGTTCAATCTTGTAATCTGAAATGTTTGACTGTTTCTTTTTGATTATCTTGCTAAATGTTTTGTTGAGGTTGTTGTAATAATGTTTGGATTGAATGAGGGTAGGTTTTGTTGAGGGTGTTATGTTTTTTTGTTGTTGTTCAATGTTTCATTTTTACCTTTGATGTTTTTTCCTAAGGGGATTTGGGGACTTTTTTGCCCGAACTTTCACTTCATTGTTAGGTTTCAGATGAGGGGGAGGTTTGTTGTTACTGTTGTGTTTTTTCGAAAATGGTTTTGTCTTGGATATTTCTCTACTCAACACCGGCTTTGTGGTCTTCGACTTCTCGCTTCAAATGTCGGGCGGCCCGGATATTCTGAATTTGTGCCAAGACAACTAGTGTTGAAACGAGCAGCGCAAGAGCAAATCAAGAACAGAAGACATGGAACCGGCTCTGCGCTCAAGTTCGGCAGCAAAGTAGCACTAATTCTGTTTCAAGTTCAGACTGTGCCATGGGGGGTCGTCAAGTTCCATTGCGTCGGCAGTCATGCCTTCTTGTGAGAGCCTTACTGCTTTGGATTGCGTGCAACTTTATTTGCTCATCGCAGGGTTTTGTTGGTCTTGACCCGTGGAAACGGGGGTTTGGTACGGGCAAAACCACCGGTCGCTGTCGCCCGTCAAACTGGTGGAACGAAGTACCTGGTGGCACTGATTGCTTGGCTCAGAAGACAAAGGATGCCTTTGAGACCAATATGAAAACGGCAAACATCCCGCTGCTGGAGACATGGGAGAGCTATGAAGCATCCCTACCAGTGAGAGAAGGCACAGATGGAGTCAGCAAGCTCTACTCACAACCCTATTTGTGTAGAGGTAAAGAGTTAAATGTCGCAGTCAGCCGCTTGGAACATGCGAACAAACGTAGAGACCGAGTGGCTTACCTTTCAGCTCCAACCATGCGTGGCAAGTCTGCCGCCATCCTGCCGATATTCTGTCGAAGTGTGGAACTGGGGAGCCAGCATTGTTTCACCCACTACCTCTACATGCCATTTGCCAATAACGGTTGGAATTGCAACCAGCCTGCATTTTAATTGGAAGTGTGCTTCCTTTTGCTTTCCTTTGTCCACTTTCTGTCGGGATGTTCATGTGTTTCATGTTTGCACGAGGTCACAGCCCAGCGCCGCATAGCTTGGAGACCGATGAACTGGAGCGGGCTGGTGCTGACTTCATGCTCCACTGCTTCAGGAGGCAGATGAATGGAGAGTATCTTGGCACTGAATGGCAGCTGCCCAGTCCACTGCCAGACGTGCGAACCACAGTTGCAAAGTTTGCGGAGGAGGTTGACAAGTTCTTGCAGAGAAACGCCAGCAACCGCCTTCTCCTCCACATCGACGAGCACCGCTCCATGAGCACATCTCCTGAATGCAGGCGAGGAGCACTGCTTTTGGCTGGCTCACTTCCACAGATGTGTCAGGTGATTGCCACCTACCTCGAACCGCCGGATCTAGCCGCACAGGGTTCGTCGCAGGTTTGCCGCTTTCCAACTGCCATGATGCTAGTAGATGTGAGCCCCTTGTTGACCAGGGACGCTTCAGATGCTGCACCTGCCACGGCAGCAGGATTGCCGAAAATCAAACTTCCTGCCGAAGGCTGGGGTGGCAAGGAAGAACGATCCTTGTGCACATTGGTCTTGGCCAGCTCCACATTCCGCAGGATGAGAAGAGCGACCTGTGCAGAACTTTCAGAAACATCCAGGACCAGCTTGACAAAGAGGGAAACCTGGAGAGCAAGCTCATTGGAGCTCTTGGAAGTTTTAGCGTCGCTTTGCCAGATCTAGATGAACAGGTCTCAGGAGCAATGGACTTGTTGTTGGGCATAAAAGATGCCCGGGCAGAGGACAGAAGGTATCTGGGAGTGATCTCGTTGGACAACCGGAAGCTGACTCTTTCGCTGGAGAGGTTGATGGGAGTTCAAGATGCCAGGGATAAAGCCTCGTCAGTCTTTGACAAAGCCCAAGAAGTATTCTGCTCGTCTCTGATGGAATCTGGGAGTTGGTGTGACGGTATGCTTTTAGAGCGAGCTTATTTGTGGGCTCTTGCCTGCAAAGCGGCTAAGGAAGAGGACGGCTTTAAATTTGTGAGCAAGCCTCGCACATATAAGTTTCAATGCAAGGACATACGAGACGGATTGCAACAAGTCGATGGGAAGAACGCATGAGTCTTCACAAAGAAGGGAGACCCCTGCATTGATGGTATCCGCTGCATAGAGGATGGTGTCATGTATCACGCGCTTTCAGAAGGTGGCACGGCTGGCACGCACAAAGGCTTCGACATTTGGTTCAAGACCGAAGCAGATGAATTAGTCCTGAGCTCAGTTGGAAGGCTGAATGTGTTGCAAACAAACAGTATTCCGTCATTTCAGTCTTTGTTTGCATGTGTTTGTATGTTTTGTAACTTGGCAGGTGCTCTTGGATGTGACTGGAGCTACGAACGCAGAAACCTGCAAGAAAAAGGCTTCAAATTTTGCCCAGAATGTGAACGCAGTGAAGCACACGGTGCAGAACGCGGAATCGCCGGTAAAATCAGTAATTGGCGTTCTTCTTGCTCCAAATTGCAACAGTCCCATTGTGGATGCACGAGTAGCTCAAGTAGTGGCAGGAGACGCAGCAAGAGACATGTTAGGCGGCTTGCAACAACTTCTAACTTGGCTTGGTGATGATGTCGACTAAGCACCTCGAGGACAGGGTTGGAGTGGAGCGCTTCCCACCCCATTTTCCCATGAACTTCAAGAATTTTCCCACTGGGAAACTTCATTTTTCCCAAACTTCAACTTTCCCCGAGTGCCGTATGGAAACTTGACTTTTCCTGCAGGAGCAGCGGGATGTTCTGACCAACCGTGCCGAACGCTTGATTGATCTCGTCACTGAATGACTTTCTGACTGGGGCAAAAAAGCGATGTGGTGCTCTGAAGTCAATGTTGCATAAGAAGTGTCCTGACAAAGCCGAAGACAGTGATGCCATGTTCACCCTTTTTGATTTGCCGGTGTTGCGTTGCCAAATGAACAGGGCATCAACACATTCAGAGACCTTCGTAGGATGGAAAAAGGGTGTTTGGCTTCGCTGTGGACAGTTTTTGAACCGATACATTGAGACAACCAGCACTTGACAAGGATGACAAACACAACCATACACAACTAGAACTCTTCATTTTATGTTTTTGGTCTCCCATTTTCAAAGCGCAACTCAATATCCCACAAGCCCATCTGAGGTCATGAAGTCATCATCGGCTCTGATTTCCAAAAGGATCCAAAAGGTGTGTTGCGAGAACTCTGAAGGGTAGAAGTGGAGAA